AATTTATTGAAAATTGTGCCAAATTAAAAAATTATTTTCTCCCAAAAATAAGAAAAAATGTAATGTGGTCTTGGGAAGAAAAAGATTGCGAAAATATAAGAAAAGTAAAAGAGGAATTAAAAATTTTGCCTAAACTTGTAATTCCACAAGAAGAAAATTTCTTTATCCTTGAAATTGATGCATCAGATAATTATTGGGGTGCAGTATTAAAGGTTAAGAAAAATCATAAAGAATATAAATGTGAAAAGAATTGTTCCTGTCCTGAGATACTTGCATGTTATACATCAGGAACGTACGAAGAAGTTGAAATAAGATATGAGATGAACAGAAAAAACTCATTGCTATGAAGCGAGGAGTACAGAAATATGAAGATTATCTACTATCAAAAAAGTTCTTAATAAGAACTGATAATACTCAAGTTAAAGCATTTTTAAAAAATAATGTTGATCCATCTATTGCTAATAGATATATAATTAGGATTCAAATTTGATTTTCTTATTTCAAATTTGATATAGAGCATATAAAAGGAAAAACTAACTTTCTTCCTGATTATCTTAGCATGGATGGAGTTAGAGCAATTAAGGACGAAAGTCCAGATACTTGAAATTAAAGTTTCCTATTTGGAAACCCAAATTCAAAATAAACAAGCCAGTCGTCAGGACCAAATGAATATAACCCTTGTGGCAAAAGATACTTGTACCAAGTCTAGTATCCCTTCACAGGGACTTGTGAATACTAGCGCTCTACCCCAGGATAAAGGGAAGGAAAAGAAAGTAATAAGAACCCCTTCACAGGGAAAATTCGAACCTATTACTGATAAAGAAGATATTTAAGATACCAAGAAATGTGAAATTAAGTGACTCGTTTAATTGTATTTCTCATTTAATGTTACTTAAATGGGTGTCCAATGTTGTTAAGTAAGGTTACTCAATAAAATTGGCTCTCTTGACTTGACCTGCCTTTGAAGGGGCCTAGGTGAGATCGGAGGGAAATATTAGCCAAATCTAAATTTAGGTTCTTCAACTTTTAAACCTGTTTAGTTTGATCCCTCAACTTTTAATTTCTTCCACTCTTTATCCTCGAAGATCCAAGAATGTTCAGGTGATCCCAAAGTTCTTATTTTGTCCGATTCTAGTCGGAATTGATCTCAAAAACAAATTAAGTCAGCCACTCAACTATCCAACCTTCCAATCAAGTATCGGTAACTCTCCAATTGCACCCTTTACGTGCCGAATATGCTTCAAATCTCTTTCTTTGGCTTAGATCACTTCCAAGTCAAAATTTTTACCTAGACAACAATAGATACTCAAGAATGAATAAAAATTCATCTTAATAATCAATATTAAGCAACAATTAATCTATACTGATCGTAGCAAAATAAGATAAACAATGTCAACCCGGCCACAATTCCGTTTTGTTCATGTACCCAGATGGTCACATAGATGAGTATGGAGAGAATAACTACTTTGCTGAAATTTAGAATACAATGGAGGGATGTCCAAAAGCCCCCAATCGAATCGAATCGAATCGAATCGAATGGTTCTTCATAAATTAAATACCCGAACGAGTACCCGAATCGAGAACTGATGAGTTTGGGTCGGGTCTCGAGTTTAGACAAAGAACCGAAGAATCGAATAAGAACCGAAACTAAATAATTTTTTTATTTTTTATATTGAATTAATTAAATTATTTTATTTTTTTCTAAACAAATTAGCAAATTAATTAAATAAATCAGATTATTTCATAATTTTAATTTTAAAGCTCAAATTATTTTTAAA